GCGAGAAATATCAGACAGAAAGCCTGTTAGCAGTCTGTGTCGGATGAGCAAGCAAAGATAAAGAAGGAGAAGCTACAGAAGCTACAGGTTCCAAACAAATTAAAGGACTGAATAAAGAAGCCGGCAGCAATGTTCTTTGAGTGTTTCTTAGCACCTTTGTCTCAGATGTTGTATGAGCAGAGCGTTTCACAGGTTTAATGGTGTGTGTGTTTTTGCCAAATAAGAGTATGTACAGTTTTACTTTCTTCTCCTTCTTTCTTCTCCCTGTCACTGGTCCTGTCGTCTTGTCTTTTCGGGGATCCACAGGATGGGGAGGAGGAAGGCACCCACAGCAGGCCGGCGGAGAGCCTGCAGCAGGAGCTGGACAGTTACTGCCAGGTCTCCCCATCGGCCTCCCTCTTGTGATCAGCAACATATGGCCAATCACACGCATGGACCATTTTACACATCACAGTCCTGGGCCGGCTGTTTTGATGTGCCTTGGAGCTCAGTGCAGAGTCCTGCTTCGCTAATTGCAGCCGATAGCGGCTTGCCCCCCCCAGATGTTTGTGGTCCAGAACGGGTTCAGTTCCCAGAATGCCCGGCCTCGCCGCTGGAGTCAAGCGCTCGCTTCCTTTCGTGTTGCTCTCATGCCTGATTATCCTCATCTTTCTCTCATTTCATGTGCAACTCACGCACACGGGCAGAAAGTGTTTCTATAAGAATATAGCGAGAACTGTGCTTGACAGAAACAGTCACACTTTCTCTTGATTCACTGTCCTGTCACTTCAGTCCTGCACAACTGAGAGGAAAGTGCTGCTTGAAATAATAATAAGATAAAGTTGCATAAAACAGGTTATAATAATCGACTGGCATACAATTACAATGTAAGTGCTGAAAACGTTTGGATGATTTAATTTTTTTCTGTTCGATGCCCATTTAACTCTAGTATTTAGTATTAGCATTTTACTGTAATTCATAGAATGGTATGCAAGTGTTTTTAGTTTCCATTGGATTGATATGGTATATTGGTATTTGTTAATAGGAAAGAATTAAACAATAGCTGATTATTTTACAAGGAACAGATGTGCATTTTGTGGTTTGGCAAATATCATGGTATTATTGAAACAAAGAGCAGATTTAAGACACTGCACTTCTCATAAACATATTAATATTTATTTGAAATGTCCATAAACTAAATTAAGCATGCACACAATGCTAATATAGAAGGAGATGCTGTGATTTCAACTTGGATCCAGACTGAAGAACTGTCTCTGCCCATTTTGCTGTCTACATGTGCAGGATGATCTGAATGATCACATAATGTTTCCTGCTCCAATGGGACAAAGAAATAGTTCTTTAGTTCTTTATTTCATTGAAAATCTTGCAGCACGTTATCCTGAAACCTTATACTTGATGTCTTCTGGTTTAGGGAGCTCTCTCAGCAGCCTGTGTGGCAAGGGAACTAGACACATGGCCTCGGTCAGCAGCCTCATTGAGCTGCTGCTCCCCTACCTGCCTGTCGAAAGGGAAGCTTGTGGCGTCTTAAACTCAGCCTAACTATGTGGGAGCTGCTGGTACCTTGCAGCTCATCTCTCTTGATCTGCATCTGGTTTTCATTTTGCATGTTTTCAGCAGGTTTGGCCCTTGAAAGAAGCATGCAGACTCCTGCACCTCTCGTTGGCTAAATGATCTCCAGCCTGTCCTGGAGAGGGGATCAGAGCAGTGTCAGCACACGGGGACGATTCTTTAACTGTGCCAGCACATTCTTAAGATTAATTAATTCTCTAGTTTCTTTTAAGGAAGTGCAGGAGGAAGGTAGCCTCTATCTACTTCATGACTAATTGATTGTTTGATTAGCAGATCACTTTACATTCTAGACTTCTGTGCCTGAAGGCCAATGCCAGAGCCCTTACATGTGTCCTTATTTACTGTGACTGTCTTCCATGTTATCTACTCGGCCTGGCTCAATAATATTCCCTGAATTCTGACAGCTGTCTCTAGTGTTTCTGTGTGTCAGTTTCAGTGGACCTTTCACTTAGCCTTCACAGGGGTTAAGTGAGACCCTCACAATAATAATAATAACTTGTATTCATAAAGCGCCTTTCCAACCCCAAGTGTGCTGTACATCATGAATAAAGAAAAAGAGAAAAAAGTACAATAGAAACACAAGAGCATGCAGGTTGGTTTTTGCAGATGTAGACAATCACACTTAGATCTTGGTAAAACCGTAAGTTTTAAGATTAGATCTGAAGAGAGTTAAAGAAGTTGTCTCTCGTAAAGAAGGTCATTCCACAACACTGGAGCAGCTGCAGGGAAGGCGTGGTCACCACAAGTCTGAGATTACAGTGAGCAGAGGGCCGGCCTCAACTGAACAGAGATACATAAGGGAGGGTAAACACGGAGGAGTTCAGAAATACACAGTATGATGGAGCCAGAATGCTTAGAGCCTTGAAAGTCAGTAACAAGATCTTATATTGAATATGTGACTTTTTAGGCAACCAGCGTAGATAGGTGTAGCAGTGATACGCTGTTAGGGTGTGATGTGAGTAAGTTTTCTAGCAGCAGAGTTGCTATTGCAACTTGTTGAGAAAAGAGTAAGGAGCCCATAATGTGAAGAGTTGGAGAAATCAAGTCTTGATATTATAAATACATGAATCAGGCACTCAGCATTAGACAATGATAGAAATTCCCTAATGCAGGCGATATTTCTTAGGTGAAAGAGATCTTAATCAAGTTTTTCACATGTGGCTAGAAAGACAGGAGAGGATCATGTGTTACTCCCAGATCCCTGACTATGGCTGACGTGTGAATGGGGAAGCCAACCCACCATTCATGTGAAGCCCTTCAGCTTGTCCAGCTGCCCACTGGTAAAATGTATGTTTTGTCACTAACTTCAGGGAATTTGATGTCAACGAGAGTTTGATGTCACACCAACAAGAGATAAGTGAGACAAGAAGTTTAATCATAAATCTGAGTATCATCTGCATAAGAATTAAACTGAAGACCATGTTTGCATATATTCTGATTGAGGGGAGGCCTGTAAATAATAATAAGCGAAGGGCCCAAGACTGAACCCTGAGGTACACCATGTTTGACAGGGGCCATAGGGGATTTATATGGACCAAGAGAGGCAAAATGCTGCCTGCCAGTCAGATAAGAGCAAAAATAGTTAAAGACAGAACAAGATGATAGACAAGAATGTCTGCAAGCATTTACGCAACACTGAATGATTTACTGTATCAAAAGCAACACTAAGATCGAGGAGCATAAGGATACTTACAGCCCCCAAGTCAGAGGCAATACATAAAGTGGCCTGAATGGCCGCTGTGTGTCTCCCAGGTGGGGCTGCTGGTGCAGAATGGCCGCTGTGTGTCTCCCAGGTGGGGCTGCTGGTGCAGAATGGCTGCTGTGTGTCTCCCAGGTGGGGCTGTTGGTGCAGAATGGCCCCTGTGTGTCTCCCAGGTGGGGCTGCTGGTACAGAATGGCCGCTGTGTGTCTCCCAGGTGCAGCTGCACCTCAGTGGAAGATGAAGTCGGATAAAAAGAATTATGCAAATACAAGTAAATAACGTTTACTTTGTTTTGTTACTATTATTGCTTTCTTAAATCGAAAAAAATACTTATTGTGCCAGTATGTCCTAGAGAGCCTTTACAAGACATGAGCCAGGTAAAAGCCTGTTTGCCAATTTTCTTACCTCCTATTGACACAAATGAAAAAATAGCCTTTTTACTCTTGGCGGATTAGACAAAATCCAAGAAGGTGCCATTACCTTCAGGAGCCAGCATGAGAAACTACCAATCACAGCTTTAGGGGTCATTACAGAGATGCATTACCATGTGGCTTTCGTCTGGATGCTGCTCCGAAAGGGAGCGCACACAACTGCTGTTCATTAGTTAAGGTGCTTTAAACAGAAATGCACTTGAAGGGAGTAGAGTATTCCAAGACTCAAACTGTACAAGCATTTAGCTCAGATGAAACTGAGCACATCAAAGATAAGGTTAAAAGATCCAGCACACAGGGATTCTTCATGACTAGGTGCGCAGGTGGGCCCTTTGTCAGGAACTGATCTGGGGAAAATCTCTCTCTCCTGGGAGTCTTGCTCCTTTGGGAGCGAAGGGGACTGTTCTAGTGTGGAAGGGGAGATCCGAGCTGTCAGTGGCGAGAAAATCTTGGTATCCCCCTCCTGAACAGGCAGTTTACTCGAACAGCCCCTGATATTGACAGGTGTAGCGTACATACTGTAACACCATTGGAAGGGTTTTGCTGGAAAGCAGAGCAGGTAGGACTGAAGATGTGCGTAAATGAATACTCATTTTAACTGTGATCGTTGGGAAGGACACAGCAGGATAATAGGATAAATTACACAGATTTCACATGGATCCAAATATTCATAATTTAGGTTTTTGCACACCATTCTTAATTTTTTCCAATAAAATTTTATTTCATTTTGGTAGCCTCACACACATCAACAAACACATCAGATAATAAAGCATATTAAATCTGAGAAATGTCATTACTTTTATCCAAGCTGCAGTTTTGTCTTGTTAAATTGTTGTTTATTTTTGCAGCTGAGGTCAGTTTTTTTATTTTCTCGGAATGAAGAGATTGCATGATGAAAAATGGAAGAGAAACTGTACTAAGGGACAATAAAAATGCAACAAATTAATAGTGTTTCCAATACCACGTGTTACTTAATGCTTTCAGTACAGTATATTTGCCTTAAGTAACCAGATGAAGGCAGGAAGCAGTGTAAAGGCTCGAAACAGTCCAGTAGTCTGTCAACAGCAGTGCTGACGTTCATGTCAAGCAGGAATTGAGTAAATGTCATCTTCACAGTGGGAAATCAGTCAATATTAACCTTTTGCCCACTTGATTGACATAGAAAAAAGTAACTCAGAGAGAGAGATGTTGCTGTGCTATCATATTATTTGTATTGTAAAATTGAATTACATGGTATAAACAATACACTTTCGCAGTTATTCAAGATTTATAAGATTGTGGTTTTAGTGAATTAATCATTGAATGTGAACAGACATTATACGTTTATTATTTTCTCAAATAAACAGACATTTTATCTTTTTATATGATACATTTTATCAGAAACCAATAAAATAGTACATGTATCGCAAATATGGGTGCATAGTTTCTAATATATTGTGTACATGATATTGCTTCACAGAAGGCAAAAGCAAACCCATATCTGATGCAAAACAGAATTTTATAAGGCATCAACTGAAATGTAACATCCCAAAATCAAGAGCTGTGTAATGACTCAGGAGCTTACGCAGGATTTAAATGGCTTTAATCCTATATTTAAATCAAAAATACCTTACATTTCAGAAATGCTCAATAGTTCAGTCCTGTACCAGTGGCCTGAAATATTAATTGACACTAGGAAATAGCGTTCACAGGGTTGTTAATTCACCTCTGTCACTTTTAACAACAACAGTGCCCATTTTTGATCAATTTAAAGCCGCTTAGGTCTACAGAAATATTGGACTGGAGGAAAAATACATCTCTGATTAAATAGCATGTGATGTTTGTAGCATCAGAGGATTTTTATACAACTGACAACAGTGACTAGTAATTTCTGAGTGATAGTTTTCATCAACTGATGAAAAGGTGGTACGGGAAGCTACACTGTGGTGTATATTTCATCAGCTGTAATCCTGGCATCCTGCTGTAACAGAAGTGCTTTGTCCATCATGGTCAGGAGTACGGGAGTTTATATTCAACACGTCCAGATACTGAGAGCAATGTAAACAGAAATAAAAGGTGTCTATAAAATTGCTTATTACAAATGATAAAACTTTCAACTGGCAAGTTAATGAGACTCGTGTGTGCAGTCCAATTTACAGCATGATTAGCTGAAACAGTGAAACTCTTGACATTGTCTTTGGCTTTTCTCAGCAAAATAGTGCAATATAATAAGGCATTACTCCAGACACAGTATACACACGCTCATTGGCACACTCACACATACTGTACAGTGTGTATTTTACACATAACAAACTGCTTTCAAGCTTCAGTTTAAAGGCTGCCAGGTTATTTGGTATTTAAGGCTGAATTATAACTTTAAACTCATTGGAAAAAAATGTATTAAGCACACCAGGGAACATATCTGCAATGAAACATCAATTACTTATTCAGGAATACTGAGGATATAGCACTAGTTACATTTTTTCTCTATTAATTTGTTTATAGCTCATAGCCTGACATGGTATTAATTAGAATTCTGTGATGTCTGCAAATGCGATCCATGCACAGTGTTTTAAAATCCCTCATACGGCATTAATGTCACCATGAAGGCTCATTTGTGTTAATTAAAGGTCTGTTTGGATACGCTTTTAATTAGGTAAATTTACAGTCTCAATAACATTATGCCTCACTTTTATTTATTCATATTTAATTAATAACATTGTTGAATCCTGACTTTTATACTAAACTTCATTTTTTGTTGCTGATGCTTTAACAGAATTTGTTAATGTAAATTGAGATTGTAAATCAGGATTCCTGAAACTGCACTTAGATTATATATTTTATGTTAAAATCTAGTGCACACCACTGTAAGAACTATGAGCTGAAAGATGCAGAGGGAAATTGGCTATTTTTAGAGGGAAATGTAAAAATAAACATGAGATCGTGGATCTAACACTTCGGCCAGGTTGCAGCACATAAGGCTTGTAAATCAAATATTTTCATGTCACTAACACGTTGTACAGACCTGTACACCACATGCAAGCTTTGCATTATTACTTTTCAAGAAAGCTTGATTACATGTGGAAGATTAACTAAGTTTGCTTAACAGTCATTTTGCAGTACAAGAGAAATAACTGAAAGACTATAAGATGTGAGTTTATAATGGAGAGTAGTGTTCACCTTTAATGCACATTGGAAGAATTCAGTAATCCTAGCAAAACATTTGCATGTAACTCACATGCAGGCTGAATCTGGCTTAAGCACTCCTGTGCAGTCGCTTTATTGTAACACAGCTCAGCCGACACACATGCCATTTTTAATCCTGCAAGGCTGCACATTGGCTTAGTCCTAAACTAGTTTTCCTGTTATCCTTTCTTACTCAGCTAGGACTAGGCTAGGGCTATGACTCCAACAGTAAGGAAGACCTTTACATCGGTATAATCTGACCTACACGATGCATCTTAAAGCCTGGAGGCGTGAACTGCCTGACACGCAGAACGAGCTCAGAGCTCCGCTGCCACACACACTCTCACAGGCATGACGAGCACGAGGAGAGCTGGAGGCCGGAGTAACGAGTGAGCTTCTCTGGCAGAAGATACTCTTGACAGCACAAGTCAACATAACAGCTGCCTGTAGCTGAAGGGAGGGAAGTTACTTCTCACATGTCTATATGTCTTCTGTATAGTTTATTCAGCTAAAGAGTGATCGATTTCATATCACTTGCATCTGATTCAGAAGTGTCTTAACACTTCATATTATAAGCCTCAAGCGTAGTTTGTCATGGTAAATATAATACGTCTCCTGATTATGAAGTACAATGAATCATTTGTATGTAATTAGATCAGCCAAAAGTCAATTGATGTCCACAGAAGTATACAGGTAAACTATCTATCTACTATCCATTCTTTCATCCACCCAGCCATCTGTCCATCTGTCTTCAAGCAGTACAGTGGAACTGATTCCCATTCCTTTCACTATGTCAGTCAGACAAAGAGTGGGGGGTCCAGTCCAGTGTGAGAATGGCTCTCAGCCACTTTCTGGCAAGTACACCTCTGAAACCGGCAGTTGAAGCAATATTTCTGCCATGCAAATACTTTCATCTCCTAAGCCATGTATAAACCTCATGTTTTTTTGGCTTCCTTCATGAAATGCCTGGATGAGGTCCTTGGATCAATTAGCTACTGAAAAAACACAAACGAGTGAAATGTGCCGAATGGCCTGGTTCTTGATTCTAATAGTTGTTATGTTCTGAAAGTAAAGAGCAATTAAACTTCATGTAAAAAAACATTTTTACAAGTTTTCAAGGAACGTAGAAGAGATCAATTGCATTTTGTTACTGGACAGCCATTGCCCATTACAGAGCTGAAAAATGTTTTTTTTCTTTTAATTACAGTGAAAATATTTAACATCAATTGCCATGATGGTCTTTGTAACATTCTAGCCTGGCGTTCTCTCTAAAAAGCTGCTGTGTGAAGAGTGGGGTGGGCGGTGCTGGGCTCTGCCAGCGGCGCTGGGGGTCTGTCCTCTCCCCCAGGCAGGTGGCTCACTGGGAACGGCTGAAGGGCCCCACCAGCTTCATAGCAGCATAGTTCTGTAAGAGGAGAAACCTGGGGTTAGTAGGAGTGATGGCTTCAGTTCTTGCTGCGAAGTGCGGCAGGTTGTGGCCTTCCAGTGGGGCCAGTGCTGAGGCGTATAAGAAATACGCTGCTGACACAATGATGTGAGGGAAATACGGTACATTGCTTCACTGGTTAATGTGATCAGTGTTAAGCAGTAATGCCAATGTCGAGCTGTGCTTATTTCATATGTTTGAATGCTGTTGTTTAAATCTCTGTCCACCAGTTAGCAGCTTGATGTCAAGACAGGACCTGACTGGCCTGAGCCATTGACCGTGCTCAAGGCCAAACAGGGAGAGGTACTGCTTGTCTACCACACTGCTGCAGTAATGCGAGAAAGACTGTTACGGCAGGATCAAAAGTCTCTAAGATGTGAACACAATGTTTCCAAGTAATAGGTTTATTCCAGCTGAAAAGAGAAGATAGAAAACACAACGTTTCAGCCGTTGAGCCTTCTTCAGGTGTGAGCACCTATACACACTATTGCCATTAAGTAAGATTAGAAATCTAAAAATGCAGGTGTGTGTGAACCCATATGCCTTCTGTGTGTGACATGGAAGTTTTAATTGTATTAATTTTGACAGTGTACAGGTGTATGTCGGCTTTCATTTGTTACAATAGCGGACATCATGTTAAAGTAGTAAAAATGAAGAAGACAGTACGAGAGTAAAAAGCAGCAGAGTCAACATTCAAGCAACGCAAAAAACTTTATAATACATTATATACATGTTATTTTCAGCTGAACAAAAACAAAAAATAAAAAGCCAAGATTTGTTTATAGGGAAGGTGCTCGTCCTTCACACTGCCTGTCTGCCTGTGCCACCTGCAGGACCCGTCCTTCACACTGCCTGTCTGCCTGTGCCGCCCTCAGGACCCATCCTTCACACTGCCTGACTGCCTGTGCCGCACTCAGGACCCCTCCTTCACACTGCCTGTCTGCCTGTGCCGCACTCAGGACCCCTCCTTCACACTGCCTGTCTGCCTGTGCCGCCCTCAGGACCCCTCCTTCACACTGCCTGTCTGCCTGTGCCGCCCTCAGGACCCCTCCTTCACACTGCCTGTCTGCCTGTGCCGCCCTCAGGACCCGTCCTTCACACTGCCTGTCTGCCTGTGCCGCCGTCAGGACCCGTCCTTCACACTGCCTGCCTGCCTGTGCCGCCCTCAGGACCCCTCCTTCACACTGCCTGCCTGCCTGTGCCGCCCTCAGGGCCCGTCCTTCACACTGCCTGCCTGCCTGTGCCACCTGCAGGACCCGTCCTTCACACTGCCTGTCTGCCTGTGCCGCCCTCAGGTGCCGTCCTTCACACTGCCTGTCTGCCTGTGCCACCGTCAGGACCCGTCCTTCACACTGCCTGTCTGCCTGTGCCGCCGTCAGGACCCGTCCTTCACACTGCCTGTCTGCCTGTGCCACCGTCAGGACCCGTCCTTCACACTGCCTGTCTGCCTGTGCCGCCGTCAGGACATGAGCAGCTGCAACCCTCACGTGAGTAATGATGTGGGATCTTTTTAATTCGTTTCCTCTGCCGCGCAGATGATGCCACACTATCAAATGTCCACTACACACTCCTGTCACTGCACCCACTTGCCAGTGAGGACTTGTGCTGTCCTGTCATATTCTCTATGTGCCATTATCTTCATTCTGACCCGCTATAATAGAGCTTTCATTTAAATACTTCAATCCCAGCACAGCAGACGGACCAGAAACTTCCCTTCCAACCCTGGTGTTCACAATATTTTAGGATTTAAAAAAAGCATATTCAACTTGGAAAGCTTTGCTTCAATCTCAGAAGTAACCATTTAAGTTGCTTGTATTTCGTGCCTGTCCTCACTTGGTTTTCTCTACAGCTACATGTGTCAAACTGAGTTTCGGACAAAGACCATGATGAGCCAGGCCCTGTGCTTGAAGATCCCAAACACAGCAGAAATGAGATATCTCTCAGGGAAGAGACATGGGGAGGGAGGAGCGAGCTGGAAAAAGATAATAGCCATCAAATCCTGTTACAGCAAATTATTCTGTGTGTTCTGCAGAGTTCATCTATACAATAAATGTGCAATTGGGCAAATTCTTTTTAAAAAGAATGACAGAGCTGGATGCTAGTGTGGAAATGCAGAGACACAGTCTGGAGAGATGGGAAGCAGAACGGTGTGCAAGGAAACATCTGCATGTGGCTTGAATCACAGTGAGATTCTTTTTTGATTTGTTTTTAATGATGTGGAGAAGAGCAGCGATAAGTTTATGGACGTTTTTATAGTGCTGGCTTGCTGGAACAGCGGTGCCAGCATGCAGACAGGAACGCTGGTTGACATTCAGGTCTCCTTGCTCATCCTATTTAATGACACATAACCCCAGCACATAAAATAAAACAGCTCCAACTCTGCTCTCTCGGCAGCCACACAGGAGGGCTGCACACTCCTTCCTGGGGAGAGCAGCTTCCCCCCTTCTCTCCAGATCATCCCAGTACAGCACACTCCATCTTGGGAAGGTGTCAGTGGCCCTTCAACAGTTGATTATGGCAGCTGAACTGCAACCAAGTGGGCAGAAACCAGAATGAGGTTTTGATATCTGGTTAGCCTGAACTCTGCACTGGGCTGTATTGACTGAAGTGGTTTGAAGCGACATTGCGCTGTCTGTACAGTTTACAGACAACATATCAGAGTCTGTTTCTAAGCGTAAACTTCAGATTCAAGTTACTCAGCAAAACATATTTTTGTTCAGCTGACAAGCCTCTTTCTGCTAATGCTAGAGCCACGATTTAATTCAGCCCGACCTCTAAAGCCGTGGAAACTGGGAATCGGAATGTTCTGTCAATTTTTCACTTAATTATTTTTGGGAAAACCATCACAGTAGATTTTGGGACAATGTGATGACTTTGGGAAAAAAATGCTCAAAACGCACTTAACTAAGGTTTTAAATTGCAGCTCAGAGACTTCTTAATGAAAAAAAAATGTAACGGTCCATAGAAATAATTAATCTTAGTGAAGGATACAGTATTAACTTGTATTCAACACAAAAGCAAAATACATTTACACTTTTCTGTATACAGTATGTAGACCTGTAAACCATAAATATGTTTAACACATGTCCAAGATGCTTTCATACATGTATCCTATAAACCTTTCAGTTTCATCGTACAAGAGATATAGGGGATTCATCTCATAATCCAATACTCTGTTCGCAATCTCAAATTTCAGGGGGATTTCTTTTTCTTGACTGAACCTTTACATAAGACACAAAATAACAGAAAAACATTTGTAACACAAGTTAATAGTTTCCATGGCCAAAACCTGACTTCTATTACAAATCAACAGTCTCTCTAAATATTGATGAAGTTCAGCCTCACATCTGAGGAGAGGCACCAGCTGGATCTCATTTCCTACAGATCCAGAGGCTCGGGGCTGCCAGCACCGCCTGGCTCCCCTAACCTCCCTGAAACCCAGACCGACACAAGGGCCAGCATTGTGCATGGCGGCACCGCGTCTGGCATGTTGACATTCTCGGCACAACCAGAACGCAGGGAACCCAGGCGGCATCACCTGAGCGGCGTGAGCGGGGCCGCAGACGCTCATTCTCATTCATGGCGCTCTGGTGCGGAAAATCGTATTAAAGGCTGGCTCGGATGAGCGGGCGGTAACTAACACCGGACTTTTAATGCTGGATGAGCTGAACTGCGGCCTTGAGATCTTGATTAAAAAAAAATCTGTAGTTTTATTCTTGTCTGTTTGGACTGGCTGATATTGTACGCGCTCGTTATGCTTAGTTCCCGAAGTTAAAGCGTATAAGTGCTCTGTTTAGTTTACATGCACAGTGCCCTCTAGCTGTGGCTTTGTTTTTTACATTAGGTCATTGTTACAGGTACGCAAACCTGGAAATAAAATGGTAGGAAAAGAAAGCATGATTGTGTTGCAGGAACAAAGAGACTCTTTGAGCCATAAAAGCATCAGTACAAAGGATCTTTACACTGGGCAGTTATCAACTTGCAGCTGAATCTCACCAAATCTCAGAAACCCAGCAAGGCAGGGTCTGGCCATCACTGGGATGGGAGACCCCCAGGGAAAACCAGGTTACTGGATCACTAGGTGGCTCTCTTCCCACTGGGCCATAATTTCCAACACAATGTCCCAGTATGTTAACTGCAGACAATCTATTGTAAGAGGTATCACCAACATTAAACCAAGGTCTTGACTACTAGGTCACTAAAGATCCCAACACTCTGCTCATAAGAGTAGAGGTGTTACTGCCCTCCTACTGGCTAAATTCACTCTGGGATTACATAGCCTGGCTTTCCTAAAGTCCCCCTTTAAATCCATTGATGATGCCATTTCTCATGTCCTCATCTGATCTGCTCTGGAGTGGGGCTGGAGTCAACCTGCCATGTGACATCCAGATGGGGCTGCTTTTCAGTGGTAGATAATATGGGCCCCGTCCTGCACATGAAGTGCGCTTGGATTGTTTGACTGTATAAAGCTTTTATATAATTACACCACTGCCACAGGTTTGGCAACACACAAAAACGACATGTTGACTGTTGAAAGAGAGTTTTAATTCTATTTAACTTGCTCAGAAAAGCTTTAAACTGTGTGCTGGAGAAGTTCTTTTAATTTTGAAGTCTTCCAATGTACAAAGAAAAGACAGGGTCTGTGAAGTGATATCAGTTTCGGTATGAGGGTGTTCAAAAATGTTTGGAAAAGCAAAGCTGTGTGACACAAAATGTCTTTCAGCTACTAAACAAAAATGCTCCAGCAAAAAAAAAACTTATCAAGACAAACGGTGCTGATTGGATCTAAAGTGTGATCCTTTCTCTAAACAGGATTTGCAGATGAGAAAGTATTACTGTATTAGACTCCTGACATTTCCAGACTGGCTTCTTCACATATCTGGCATGAAAAGAAGGCTTATCTTGTACTGGATGTAACGTGTATTCAAGTGCTTAGTTAGCAATAAATTGCAGTAAAATCAAGGAAGAACATTAATTGAAAACCAAAAGAAACTGTACATAAGATTCTCTTTTCTCTTTCAGTACCGAAAATACAAATGCAGCTCTTGAGTGCCCCTGACGCTGATCTTTGTCAGTTACGGGTCATCTGAACCTGACGACAGTGCGTGACTGACGCAGGCAGATACACTCTGCTGGACTCTGGCTCTGAAGGAGTTGAGGCTGTGCACCAGTGGCCTAGAAGCAGTGTCATAGGTGTGCTTTCTGCTCCATAAAGGTGCTGAAGAGGAGGTCAGGCAGGGTCTTACCGGGAAGGAATAGAGAAAGATCCCGAGGAAGAGCAGCACGAAGAAGAGGATGAGGAGTGCAATGATGACCCACTTGAACCTCCTCCACAAGATGTACTTCATGGTCTTGAAGGGGGAGGAGAACCACAAGAAAGAGGTCTCTGGCCGCCTGCAGGACAGGAAGAAAGACAGTCAGAGGCCAAGCCCAGCACTGGAAAAATCTACCCTTTTCCCATGCTTTCACCATGTTTATACCGTAAGTTTACTGGCTTTGCTGTGGCATCACATATTGTGAGGCTTTGCTTTAGGACCCTGATTTGGCTGTGCTTTAATGACTGATTACGATTGTAACTTCTAAGGCAGCAAAGCTTTGTTTCTGGGAAGAGTCTGGAAAACAGCGAACAGAAGATGACATCTTTGAAAACATGCCCATTCTTTGGACAGTGAATGAGGAAACACTAGAAGTGCAGTGCACTTATGTCGAATGTCGTTTAATTGTTACAAGTATCACATCTGGCCACTTCTTGCACTTTGCTTCTGCATTGCTTTGATAAAAATGCAACATTAGCTTGAAATGGTCCATCAGTTATGAGACATTAGATTATTCCTAGTAAGGACAGTGGCATCCCGGAGCCTAAACTCTGAGTGCAGGATGAAGAGAAGATACCCTGGAGAAGATGTCAGTCCAACTCAAGGCTGACACACACACGACACACAGGATCAATTTAGAGATCCGAATCAGCACAGCCAACATGTCTTTGAAACTGGAGCCTCAGGAATAAAATCCAAGCAAACACAAAGAGAAAAAAATAAAAGCCTGATTCTGAACAGTGCAAATGGTGTATGGTGTGTAGGCAGTGAACAGCTCACTGACAGAGTCAAGAGCAAAACCATTCCAGACCTTAAAAGCAACTATTTTGAATGTGATTCTTAAATCCACAGGAAGTCATTAAATAAGCATTTTAGTTTGGGTTAAAATAGGAGATTCTGAGCTTTGAACACATTGCCTCCTGTTAACAACACATTTTGATACATCAGGAAGTATTACAGTAATGGAGTCTGACAAGTCAAACGTATGGTCATCTTTTCTGACTTGAAAAGGTTTGTATGAATACAAGCAATGCTACAAAGATGAAAGATGGGGATAAAAACCTTTGCAACAGTAAAAACATGACCTTCAAACACAAACCCAAAATGTCCCTAAACTGAATATTTGGATGGATTCCAAGACATCAACGGGCAAAGTAAAATTTGCATAATTGATAAGGGGGACCAATCAACACAATTTACCAGAGCTCAGACATTGTTTGTTGTATCCATTTTCACCATCATCTTCAAGTTCCATGAGAACATTAATACCCAAGACAAATCTGACTCAATGGTTACATACAGTTAGTAAGGAAGAACTGGACAAGAGCAGAGCCCTGTGAGACACAGGAGACACTAGAGATTACATTGCGTGTAAGCACATGCGCAGTGATGCAAAGATTGCGGGACTCACCTGGGCTCCTCCAGGTGGGGATTCATGTTGGGCTCATCTCTCCCCTGCCCTGCTGGTCGCTCCTCGTGCTCCTGCTCTGACGCTATCTCCAGCGTCATCTCCACCTTCCCCTGCCGGAGACAGAGAGACCGCAGTGTCACGCGGGGGGCTGTCAGGCTGTGCTCCAAGAGCAGAAGGCAGTACAGCTTGATGATATGGTTTATTTAAATTCAGTTGGTTAATGTAGTTGAGAAAGGAGCTGCACTGTGCACTCACTGCAATGATCTTCTCCCCGTTTCTCTCGCCAACACAGGGCCACCAGCCCTTCACTGTCTTCTGCTCAAAGAGGGAAACCAGCCGGTCTGCGGAGAGGGTTTGGTCGAGAAGCTCCAGGCCACACTTCTCAGCAGACTTTGCAGGCCGTACCATGCGGTTCAGGTCCATCTCCAGAGAGCCTGCCAGGCACAAAAAGAAAGAGACAGGAAGATCAGTAGCGAGGAGCATAAAAGGCAAGTTCTACCTGCCCAAACAGTCAGGAAGGAGTACTTCTATAATCTTTCATTTCCCATGATTCCAATGTCTTTCCAATTGGACATCCTATTACATGTGTACTCTGAATGGTTTTTGTTTTGTTAAGGATTAAACCGGAACTTTTTAAATAACTAAATGTCATTCGATGAATTGGTCAAGAACAGTATTTGTGAGACACGTGCACACACAGGTGGGTGTGTTGCAAATATTCAGATGTGTTGTTGTAACAGGGCTCAATGCACTGAACTGATGTCACCCCCTTGAAACATAGACAGAGTAGGATTCTGCAGCAGCAGAGGACCTGGGCTTCTGGCCCGAGAGAGTTTGTGATCGAATCCCAACAGGGGCTGAGCACAGCTGTGCACATTGAATCACTGGACAAAGGGGCAGTGGGGAGGCTCTGTGGCTCAGGATCTGCGCCTGTGGCTGGAAGGTTGCCGGTTCGTATTCTGCGGCCGGCAGAGGAATCCTACTCCATTGGGCCCCTGAGCAAGGCCCTTAACCCCAACTGCTCCAGAGGTGCAGTGCAATGGCTGACCCTGCGCTCTGACCCCAAGCTTCTCTCTTTGTGTCTCACAGAGAGCAAGTTGGGGTATGCGAAAAGAAGAACTCCTAATGCAAGAAATTATTTAATGGCTAATAAACTGATCTTATCTTATCTTAATTAACTCGTGTGTTGCTACTAATCCTTGGAGGAGCAAAAGGAGACTCTTAAAGCAACACCACTGGGAAAGGACTTTACCAAGATAGTCATCAAAGGAGAACTTGTCATTGTCCCAGATCTGGATCACAAACTTCGGGGGGATCTTTGTTTCAGCCTTGTCTAGGCTCCAGAAGTGCTCCTGCAGTAAGAAAGCATTCAACAAAGTAATTAAGGATGCAATTAGTAACTACAGCAGAACTATAGAAAAACACACAGTGACAGCAGCAGCTATATTAAAGGTGCTTCCCGCTGCAGACCGCTTACATACTCAAACACATGCTCGGACACACGTGCACACACACAGACAAACGCAGACACTTGCGGACACACACAAACATGCAGAAGTGCACACATTCACAGACACACGCTGACATGCGTACACATGCACAGACACATGCACACACACGCACACACACAGACCTTCTTGTTGACGGTGCAGACTTGCTCTGCAGGCAGGTAGTGAAAGGGGAAGACGAGCCTCCAGTTGAAGTTTCCCTCCCCACCCAGAGAGCGGTAGTGCACATCTGTCTTCTGCTTGTTTTCCTCGTGTCCCAGAAGCCAGCTGCGAACATCCAACAGTGACATCTGTATCACAGCTGCACAGTGCAGGAACACAGCAGCACTACTGCATCAACAGTGTGCGACAGCTGGCTTCCAACTATTGATGGCACGTGTAAGCAGATAGACAGACATGAGAAATATCTACATACACTATATACACACATCGTTGCACAATACACTCATGTGAAAGAACACGAAGATCCTCAATACTGCACTATCCTGCCAGCTGTCAGCACAAGGAAGTGCCTCCTTGTCAACAGTGGCAAACAGGAAAATGTAACTGGAGAAGCACATTGCCACTACATCTGTAAAAGTGCATGGTGAAAATAGTGTATATCATTACTGGCTTTAATGAACTAAAAATTTCTTCCTTTTTTGTGCTACCAATTGACTGCCAATTGGAAGCTCACATAGGTGCCCTGTTACTTCATCTATGACTTGGTAACCTAATTTCAATGGCAAGCAAGATGCGTGGTCCTGCCATTTCATTCTATAGCTCATACAATACAGAGCCAACCGTGAGATCAGAGACACTTAATCTGTGGCTGTGTGCAACAGAGCCAGCTGCAGTTCTGGGCATTGGTGCTGTAAACTGTATTACACTGTTTTTGAGTGGGGAACTGTGCCAGCGCGCATTGAGCACAGAAGAACAAGTAAAGGTTAATTGCACGTTGAAAATTAATGCAAACTTAATTAGTCTGTTGAGAATTCTTCAGCTGTCACACCTGAAGAGCCAAAACATTATTTCTTCTTTCTACTTTTTAGCATGGACGTAACCTTTACTTGTTCCTCTGGGTTCGTCATGCCTCACACACTGGCGTGAGACAAGCATGTCCCGGGTCTGGGCCAGTACCGGTGACGTACAGTAAACATGAACAAACTACTGCTTTGTCCAGCTGTTATTTGTAAGTATTAGCTTAAGTTTCTGGTCCACTGAACAGTTCTGCTGAACTGGTGTTCAGTGCTCAGAAGGATGCAGAAAGAGAAGAAGTAGAAATAGCTCTTAGTCACAAGTACACCCTTTGACAGTAGTACAAGTGTGAACAAAACTGTAGTCCAGTTCCTTAAACCCACGGAACATGAAACTCTGAGTGAAACGCATTGTTACAAGCATATTTACTCATTAGGAAGTATTGTATGACAGCCATGTGGAAATTCAATGATGTTATTGATATAGAAAAACACAGTTAGTTTGTCAACAGGTGAGAATCATCCTTTCCTGCCGAGGAAAACAAAATGTTAGGAATTACAGTTAAAAGTGAAGAATTAAATCAAGGGATTTGATTTGTAAGATTGCATAATGGAATTAATGGAATGCCCTAACCAGGCAGGCTGAAAGAGTTTTATCTTCTATTCTTTTGGCCAGGGAAGACTGCAAGAGTGTCTGATTCAAGTGTTCAAAATCTGCAAAGGCATCAACAGAGTCAGCACAAGGGATTCCATAAGAATCAACAGTGAAACACAAACCAGCGCACACAACTGGGACCTGTGGGCATATGAAACTGAGAAGAGCATGTTTCACAAAGAGCTGTGAGAGACCAGAACAAGCTACCCAGCCCAGATACCCTGGTCTCAGCTGGTCTCAACAGCTGGATGAGTTCCTTGCATCAGTTGGCTACTACGTAGCAACCAAGAGAGCTAGATCAGAACCTGTGTAACAGTATGTTCTTATATCCTTCTTGTGAATGGTCAAAGCAGCCTCGCAAAGCAAAGGCTCAAAAGCCAAAACACTGTTTCATTCTTTATGACCATGATTGGTGGCCTGAATGCAATGGCATTTCCTTTGCCCCCACAGCAAGCTGAAGCAGCCTCCTGCTCAAGCTCCTGCCTACACACGTGGTACACATCTGCATTAAAGCAGCATGTGGGATGTAATCCCCATTATCCTCTCCAGCGCTCATGGTCCTCTATCTCCTGGCACTCATTACATCATACCCTTTGACATATATGTCGCTCATCTTCTCCCCCGTGATGCTGACGTCATCCAGGATGACATCACTGGTGTTCCAGATCACGCAGCGCAGGAAGAACCTACGGGAAACGAAAGAGGAGAACTGTGGGCACAGGGCAACAGGAAGGACAAGAGAGCAGAGACAGATTATGAACTAAAACACAAGCTAAAACAGAATGTGAGCAATAACAGGACTACACTGGGGCAGAGGCGCGTAGAGAGAAAGACACTGAGAGCAGAAAAGCACAGGAGGGCTCAGAACAGAGGTGTAACTTAAGACCCCAGGAAGCCGCCACACTCACACATTCACATTAATCCTAAACACACAGCTCAGTGGCCTGAAGAGAACGTCTCAATGGAAGATCCCTTCTGAAGTGTGGCTGAGCCTATGGCGGGTGCAGACTTCAGTAAGCACCTCAGATTTTAAATCGAGATATCGCTGTCCTGCTCTTACCTCTTGGCTTTACGTGGGGAAATGTTGAAAGGGGGCCCAGGGGGGCCCAGGGATTTAGGAAACAGGTCCACCCACAGGTAAAGCCTCCCCTGTGAGAACAGAGAAGAAAACGCACTGGTCAAGGGATTGAAGACACAGCGATAAGATCAGCACCACTCCCTCCTTAACAAACTGACATGCCCTCACGTCTGACCACAGTTCAGAATAAGGTGACACAGGAGGGACGATATAATCTGGGAAGCATTGGGCACAAAGCTGAATACACCCTGAACGAGACGTCAGTCCATCACAGGGCAAACACAGACCAATACAGAGGTATGGATACGCTCACACCAGGGCCAGTTTTTCCAGATGCCAATTAACCATCAAGTATGTCTTTGGTCTGTGGGTTGAAACCAGAGCACCAGGAAGAAACCCACATGAACACAGGGAGAACATACAAACTGCATGCAGAGAGACTCTACAGGTGTGGAACTAAACCCAGGGCTGCAGAGAGACTGTCTGTCCACTCTGGCCCTGTGCTCTCTCACCTGTTTGATATCAGGCTGCAGTGGGCACAGCATTGAGGGTGTCTGTCTGCTCTGGCCCTGTGCTCTCTCACCTGTTCGATATCAGGCTGCAATGGGCTGTACAGCGGCCGTGTCTCCACGTGCTCGGGGACGAGGCCCTGTTTCTGCAGCACACACAGTGCCAGACGTTCCTCGGTGGGGCCGAGATGAGGGTTTGGGGGCTTTGAATCTTCTGTAAGACACAACAGAGCAGGGTCAGAGGTGCCACACTGACGTAGCACATGGCCACAGAACCAACACAGCCGTCAGCTTTCACCAGCAACGTGCTGAGTCTTTACTGAACCAGGTTCTCTTTGTGCTTAAACCAAGACCCAACAACGATAACTAATAACTGATTTCAGCAGAAATTTGTTTCTTCACCTTTTCATCTGACGTATTATTAGTGTCTTATTTTATAATATATTGTTTTCCAGTGGTCCTTATTTTTTTACTTATAAGGAAGCCTCTGGGTTTTTAATGGGAAAATGTGCCAGTGTAACTCCTGAGTCAACCACCACTCTCTCCCTGATGTGGTCCAAGGTCCTTCTTTCACAGAAGCACATGGTGTAGGACATGGTCTGTCCTCACGTGCTGGACAGAAGGATCAGAAAACAAAACTCCAGATTTAGCGAGTGAAGAAAGTAAGCATTTGTATAACTAAAAAGGTCCAGCTCCTTCAGCCTGTCAGTGTAGGACATTCCCTGAATCCTGGAAAGTACCGTGTCGCTTTTCCCTGGACTGGTTCCAAAGTAGCATAAATTGTCCATAAGATGGTGACCAAAATTGTGCACAATATTCTAAAATAGGTCTCACTAGTGTGCTATATAATTTTAAGAGTGATCTGAAGTACTGTATTAAAGCAATTATTCTATGAGAAATACTGGTGGTATACCAAGGAGTCGTTTGAGCGCTGACCTTTGGACAAACAAAGTGGATGAAAGTTTAAAAACGGTGACCACTCCATTCAGCTCTGTCTTTTGACATTTTGGTCTTCTGTCAGTAGATGGTAGTGCAGATTGGCTCAAAGAATGGTCCTTAGATATGTTATATGTTCCAGAAATGCAGCAATCATGGTTTTACTTTCACAGCATGTGCCAAAGAGAGCTCCTTGAGGACCCTATTAAAATACTATTGAACTGGCCCCATGTATTGCTCTGAGGCAAATCAAGAGCAGACACATTAATGACTGAAACAGGAGCCGCTTTTTCACAGAGGTGTGGTTTCTGGAACAAGCTTCCCAGCGCAACTTTTGGAGCTGGATTCCCTGGGAGGGCTGGAAGAGATTCTTGGATCAATGAGCAATCCCCAACCAGACCTGCAAGGTGAGCCAGGTCCTTTTGCACCCTCATTTACCCAGGTCAGCAAGTGTGTACTCCTGCCCCCTGAAGAGGATGCGGTCCTGTTTGAAGATGGGCAGCTTGTAGTTTCTCCTCTCGCACAGCAGCCTCAGGAGCTGAGACGGCTTCAGCTGGTCCCTCCACTGATTCACCCCTGACCTGGGAAGAGGCACGGCAAGGTCAGAGCAGCACGCCAAAGCGGAAGAGTTCAGGTTGAAAAGCAGAGAGCTGGAAGGCTTGCCACCAGGACCTCTGCAACATGTGCTTTATGAATATGAGCGTTTACGAGCTCGCCGAGCTGTCCAGCCATCTGGTCAAAGCCAACCTCCTTCAGTGGGAGGACATCCTTGTATCAGCTGGCTGCCAGCAACCAAGAGAGCCGAACGGGCCCAATGGCTTCTCTAGACCCCCAGCACGAGAACTGTGTTCCCATGACAGCAGCCCCAGCCAGGGGTCTGCGTGCCGGGTGCCACTCACAGGCAGTATGACTGGGGCAGGCCGCAGCGCGCCCCGTGCCTCGACAGGAAGCGGTTCTCCAGGTCGATGACGGTCTCGCCGATCTTCTCGTCCTTGGACAGCAGGTCGTAATCGTACAGCGTGATCCTCAGATCCTTCTCCAAGGGCAGGGTGCACGTCAGCTCAAACATCCTGCGGCAGGGAGACAGACCCGCGGGGAGTCAGTACAGCGAGCAGGGGTAGAGGACTGAGGTCAGGCTTCTGAAAGATGTCTTTCTAAGGCAAGACATTAACATCAGGGCCACAGGAGAGTTGTGGTTAAGATCACTTTATTGGCCATATACAGTTTCTTGTACTAGGAATGTGTATTTTCGCATACCCCAGCTTGCTCTCCATGATACACACAGACAGGGAGAGAAGCTTGGGATCAGAGTGCAGGGTCTGCCATTTATACGGTGCCCCTGGAGCAGTTGGGGTGAAGGGCCTTGCTCAGGGGCCCAACGGAGTAGGATTCCTCTGCTGGCCGCGGGATTCGAACCGGCAACCTTCCAGCTACAGGGACCAATCTTAAGCCACAGAGCCTCCGTACAGCCCCCATAAAGTTAGGATACTGGCTTTCACAGCAGCATAAGGTGAACAATCACTGCTGTATAGAGCCTGAAGTGTACAGCCAAAGCAGAAATGGATACAATCAGACTGGAGTGTTCAGAAACACACTCAAGCCTAGTTCAGACGTTTTTTTAGGGGGGACAAAAGAAGGCTGACTCCAGAGCCAGAATTTCAGGATATAATATACAAAATTAAGGCTTTAAGTTAAAATGTATTTTTAATCAATTCAGATATACAGGATTATACAGCCTGGAGAAGACTATTAGATAAGAATGCATCATGGATTTCAAAACGAAATAGTATTAAATAAACATCAATACCCAAAGACATGCTTTCCTTCCTGTCCATACTGTAATGCAGGCTGCCTTGAGGATGTGTACAATCAGCTAGGAGGCTGGGAAGCTGGCTCTTCAGGGGATACACATGACAACAGACGTTTGTGGTGTCCTGACTCACTGAGCTGGGCACAGTACCCACCGAGCAAGCGCCTTCATTCCTGAGACAGCAGTGACCCCTGCTGTTTAATGACACTCACTGCAGCGCACTGGACATCCAGTTCAGCACACGCTTAGCAGCTCCGCAAGGTTCTCTACTTTATCCTTCCGCAGGCTTATTCAAAACTACTAACAGGTTTCTTATTATACTGAGTTCAGGCCAAAACTGTATTTTTCCCATACAGTTCTCATACATTCATGCTGTGTAGCAATGATTCATACTTTAGTGGACTATGGACTGAATAAACCAAATTCAGGAAGAAAGAGAATAAGAACTACCTTCCGAAGACAGGGTCCAGTGTGCAAGGGATGTAGTGGTCCTGGTCATTGACTGATTTCTTGCCCAGCGTGATCTTCACATAGGGGTCACACTATGGGAACACACAGTTCAAGTCAATGCCACAGTCTGGAAGCAGAAGATACAGTATGAACATGCCCTAGAAAGGAGTGACGATCTGTGGCATGTTGTTCTCAATAGGCCAGTTGTGCAGACAGGCAATGGAAGGGTTAATTGTGCTACAATTTTCTTCTAATTGGAGGAAATCTATGTTATACTAACTACTTTATAATGAAGTCGGCAGTTTGAGTCTAAAGATTTCGCAACTGGAAGCAACAGGCCAGATTTCAGTCTGAACAGCCCTCCCTTCTTAAACCAGTGCGAGTCTTGGACAGACACTGAGATCGGAGGTAAGAGGGGCAGGGCTGCGAGAGGCAGCTTTGTCTCATTGCAAAATCATTCCAGAGGGAACACTGGCAATGTGCAAGGGCAGCTTCGCCAGCGAGGATATAGGCAGAGCTGATGTGCTTCTGCTGCCCCCATTCAAACCTGCCCCTGCCAAATGCACTTAGTACTGAGGAGCTTTTACTTTTTCCTGCCCGGCTGGCAGCCATGAACTGCAATCCCAGTATATGATGTTGGGGTTTTGCTTTTAAACATCAAGGAATCTAATACTGAGTACTGGATTTTTAACTTATCATTGGTGGGCTGTCTGGAGTCATTCAAGACCTCTTACTCAAACTCATGCTTTCTGAATACAAACCGCCTCAAAGTCATAGCAATCAGAGCAATCAGATCCCTCTGGATTCTTCCGAACGAGTCGGCCGGAGCGCAGCGTGCCTCCCGCTCTGTCAGGGACGGGGACACAGTGTGGAGGCACGCTGTGCTCCGGTCGCTCACCTTGCCATTGGCGTCCTTGGGCTGCAGTCCGACGGCCTGGATGATGTAGACACGGACGAGGCACTCCTCCGTGCCATTGGGCGGCAGCTGGCAGAACTGGCGAGGGGGAGTGGGCAGGGAGGGGTCATCTGGCAGTGGGTAAATCTTAAACATCCCCTGTGGAGGCAGAGAGCAGCAGCAAACATTTACCAAAACATACCAAACATTTACCATTTACCAGCCCACCAATGATCTCTTCGGGAATGCACATGGACCGTTGAGTGAGAGCAGCCCGAAGATCTGTTTGTAGCAATAAACTATTAAACAGACTTCAAATGAAGTTCACACAGTGAATGGCATCATCACAGTGGTAAAAGCCCTCGATTTGATATTTTAGAAGCATGTAAGATGTCTTTATCGGACATCAGCCAGTCCGATAAAGCTGATCTCTTAGTACAGAAAAAGCATGGTCTAACATGCCAATCAATAAATGAGGGTTTGGGACAGTACTGTAAGTACAGTCTCACCCAAAACAATGCACACCCTTAATATCTGTCTGATCACTTTATATGAGTTCAGTCACTGTGTTTGGCCATTTAATTTTCTCAGGGGATGTGCAATGTTAGTCTGGGTTGCCTTGAAATAAAGTTTTTATAGTATTTTTCTTTCTATACTGTATTTTCACCAAGGTTTTGTAAATTATCCCAAGTTTCCAGCAGCTTGTCTAAAAATCACCCCCTGAGGTTTTTTTTTATAGTTTCTGACATTTATCTGACTCCTGGGACTGGTGGGCTGAATGGCCTCCTTCCTTAGTCTTTACCTCGACTGATACCTAACAGACTCCTGCCAACATGTCAGAAAATCGCTTCTCAAGCAGCAGTGATATTAAGAATATCTCTTTAACTCCTCGCTTTTGAGCCTTGAGGTTGACCCCAATAAGCCACTCATCAGAAACTGCACCATCCGTAGGGTGTGTGACCCGAAGCCCCTCTTAGAGGTGACCTCCTTTGCGGGGATCTCACACACCTTGAACTCCCCAACCACAGAGGGATCCTCGCTGTCATCCTGAGACTTTCCTCTGTACAGTTTGAAAGTCTGACAGAAGTCAGTGAGCCCCTCGAAGCCCTCCACTTTCTCCAGCTCCGTGTTGTACACCTGCAGGGACAGAACCAGACAGACAGGCATTGCAGAGCGGCAGCAGCCAGACTCAAACCCAGGAGCCCCTCTGGCAGACACGCTGTCACAGGGAGCAGGTTCCCGCCTGTGTTGCTCCACATCCAATGTCTGAAATGTCCATACCTGCAGGGTGTCACAGCCCTTCTCCAGGTAGGTCCCACACTTGCTGCGCTCGCCTGTGGAGGCGAAGAACTTGCTCCACCAGTCCATGAATTCCTCCTCCTGTGAAAGCAGCAGACAGAAGGAAGTCAGCCAGCGCCTAGCTCTAATAGGCACATATGAATGTTTTTTGCAGTAATCCAACACGCATCTTGTTATATTGTTCTGATAATGCAAAATCCAGACACTAGCATTCCAAAAGCAAAACTCAAACTCCAGTGTTTCCAATGTACTGTACTGTATGCTTCATTTGTTTAAATTGTAGATGAAAACCAAATTCATCATTGTGACAGTATTCTAAAATGCTTAACTCATGCATGCCATTTACTGAAAGTCTGTAGAGAGGAATCCGATTCGAGCATCCCGAGCTCCTGCTATGTGAAAGTCTGTCTTCTAAAGCTGGCCCTTTCAGAGAGCACTGGAGAACAAGAGATATGGTTCCATAGTTCTGTCCACAGTACGTCAACAGGAAAGTGATATTGTGCCGAGAAACCAACTTACCCACTGTATCTTCTAGTTCCATCAGGGGAATGCAAGCATGTTAGAAACAATGTTAGAATGATTTTATATAGGAGTTTCTTCAGAGTGAATAGTAAAGTGGCAAAACAAAATAAAGCTCAAGAAACAAGTGGTCAATAAATAACTGATGAACATATTTTGCTAATGGTACATGCACATTTCCAAGAGGACCTTGTACACGATGCATTAGATGTTTTTTTACAGCTACTGATGATCATGCGGAAGTCAGATGTCAGGGAATTTAAGATAGGATTGAGCCCACACTGGAGACGAAAGACATTGTTGTCTTACAGTAGTGCGTAGGTAAGCTTTATATAAACTTCATATAATACACAGCACAGGAATGAATGTCGAGAAAACTGCTGCATTCCCTTATGGCTACACAAAGATGGTTAAGACTGAACAGACAGAGCAATCTGATACTGTACATGCAAACTTTCCAAAGACTATGCACAGAAAAGCGAATTAAATAATTTGAACATTCTAAAGTGCTTTTCCAAAATTATTAATTTAATATCCATGTTTTTAATTATCCTCACCAGCACAGTCCTTCAAGGCCTGAAGGACTACGTGTACCACAGAGATTTTTCATCATGTATGTGCTCTGGGCTAAAGCAGGAGAATGTGTTCACCACGTTTGCCACAACAAAGGGAAAAGTTCCTCTGAATTTTGAATTCCTTTGAACATGTGCTGTCACCCATGACTTGACATGCATTTGTTTCACTGTATTGTAACACATATACAGTACAAACAAAAAAACATTTACTGTTTTCTGGATAAGTGGCCATTGTTGGGGAAAGTTACCTTTAAAAAGTGATAGATTACAGTAACAAGCTTCACGTGCAAGGGATTATTTTTTTAAATTAACAAGTGGCATGGGGAAATTAATTTAAAAAAGCCATCACTAACATTGACTTATGTAGTCTGTATAGTTCCCATGTACAGTAAGTATCACACTACTTCTTAAAAGTAACAAAGTATTATTTTTTTTTTAAAGAAATACATTACACTAATAGCTTGTACCTGCAATAGATTACTTTTAAAAGTAACTTTCCCCAGCTCCGTAGGTGAACATGTGTAGCAGTTCAGGCCCAGGGGAAGGAGGCAGGAACAAGAGAAAGCGGTTCACACTGGCAAGAAGAGGTGACTGGAGATCATATAGACCAAATGATGAGACCCTAGGAAATGTTGTCTGGACAATTTCACATTACCACCAACAGAATCTAAAGCAGTTTGCAGCAGGGAAGACAACCTGAAAGAGGAAATGGAAATGATATGGCCACTGAGTACCGTGTCCGTCTCAGCAAAACAAAATCCTAATTTTGCAACCATCAAATTGTAAAAAACCTCCAAAGAGCTATACTGTATATCAGACAAAACCAACAAATCACTGTTGTTTTCCTATTAATTGTTAGTTCTAATCAAAGTGCTCATGTTGTTAAACTGATGGGCAAATCATAAAGTTAGGAGCAGGACTTTCATCCTATCTGTTACTAACTGTGAACATGTGGGAGTAATTCAGCCTTCTTTTCTTCTACACAAACAGGTTTTGACTGAATAACAGCTATTGTGAAGGACTGACAGGCCATGTTAAGGTGTATCTATACAGCAAAAGGAGTGGAGTCTAACGTTGTAATGTTCTCCGGTGTGAGATAAAGTGCTGAAAGACAGGTGTCAAAACAACATTTACCAGACTTTATAACCATGGGACTGTCTTACATGCAGCAAATTTAACACAGGTCCAAAGTCCAGAGGAACAGTCAGGCAAACTGCATTTAGCCATCTAACTCAATATTACAGGCTAAAATATTAAGCCCCAAGGGTGCTGGAAAATGAAATAGCAAAAAAAAAGATTTGTGTAAATAGCTGAAGTGCATTGCCCACATACAAAATACAAAGAGCGCTTGGCTTTACTGAACCAGCTACTCTGATGTGGAAATTGGTACAGACAGACATTGTTGGGGTTTTAATCAGTACCAAGGGACAGATTAGCCAATACAACACTTAACCACAGCCACGTATAGGAACAGCACTTTAGCCATCTTTGATGAGCCATTCAAAACCAAATTGTTAAATCTAGAAAAGAAACATGCAAAGAATTTCAACCACTGCATGTGTCTGTGTCAAAGTCTGTCTTTAAAAAAATGTCTGCATACCAATTGTAATACTATGGGTTGCCTCCCTTTCCCTTGCTCCCCAACACACACAAATTAAGTGCTTTCCAAGCCTCTGCTCTATGGGCTTGAATAGAAGCCGTTTTGTTCGTTAACGGCAAGCCTCCTCAAATGCCAAGGAAAAGTCAGATGCTTTTTAAGTGTCCCATGGAAAATGGCAACGAGTGCTCCAGCTCTGAAATACTAACTGCAAACTCTTGTTAACCACTTGCCCGATGCCAAGGAATAGCAGAAGGCTTTGAGCTGTGATGGCAGGAATCTGACTGAGGAGCCCGGGCAGGGTAGGGCAGCGAAGAGAACGATGCCAGGCAGAGGTTTAGAAACGCTGAAGGATCTTTCCCTGCCAGCTGGTCGGCCCTAAATTGCTCTAATAGCAGAGGCATGTGGCTCAGGACAAATTTCTTTCTATTGTTTGTTTTCAAAAAGCTTCCACTGACTTGGATGACCCAGCTAGTCCTCCGTGGGCTGCTTTTTATTTAGAGATGACATGAGATAGCAGTAATAAACTTCCCCACTGAGCACGCTCATCACACGCACCTCTCCAATGGAGAGGGGCACCGACAGGCGGACAGATGAAGGTCAAACGCAGGAAGAAAACAAACAATTCATGGCATCAGAAACTTTGAACTCTGTAATTGTTCCAGGGTGTAGAAATATAAACGTTCTTCATTTTGCAGTGCCCTCTCCAGTTGAAAAACAGAATAGAGTATATCTGTCCTCTGTTTTTAATATCGTGCTAGGTTTAGCGTGTACTGTACAGGATGAAGCAATGCAGGAAAATTAAGGACAGGAATTGCTCCGTGAGGCTTGTACTGTAGCTACAAAGGAACAAGTAATAGGTTTATTCCATGCTGAAAAAAAGAAGAAAGAGAACACAACGTTTCGGCCGTGGAGCCTTCTTCAGGCTTCCTTTGGCTCCACGGCCGAAACGTTGTGTTCTCTTTCTTCTTTTTTTCAGCATGGAATAAACCTATTACTTGTTCCTTTGCAGCCTACGCATGCTGACGCAGCTACCCACCTGAACTACTGTAGCTACACTTGACACTTGATTCTGGGAGTGCTACTGTAGGATAAGTCTTGGGCAAGGCTGTCTTTAAATGTAAAATGGCTACTCCGCTTTGTCTGCTAGTGCTGTCCTCAGGAGAGCAGGATAGATCCCCTAACTGCCAATTCATCATCTATTAAGAAAATCTATTCACATTAGGGGAATCGTGGAACTGGATATGGAGCAACTACTAATAAAGTACTGTATAGCGATGACAATGAATAAAACAAAACAGATAATATTTGTTAACAACCCCCAAATCTGAAAACACATTTTTGCGGCAATATATTATGCTTCTGTTAAGTTTGTGCATAACTGATGAAATGTTCTCATTTTTTACGCAATGCTCCGCAAGAGCAGGACTGGACTGGGATCCCCTGATTCTTGTAAAGTCTGAATCTCAGAAATTTAATTAGGGGAAAATTGATTAAATGCACGTTTCACTTTTTTGTCTGACGTCTGGCTTAGGGATATAAGTCGGGAATCTTTTAACAGCCTTATTTACTTTGGCTTTGGTGAAAGAAATTTGGGTTTGATCATCTGGTTTGAATATTTTCTAATAAAATAAATATCTTTGTTTGCAGAAAGAAAAACCTCCAGATCTTGGCTCAAGAGACAAATTCAGTGCTACATTTGGAGCATGATATAAACAAGCCATTATCAAAAGAGCTTAATGTCATCTCAGACTCAGGAAAGTCACTGAGACCAGCAATCACTTTCGTAAAACTAGCTTATAAAACTGGATTATAAACTGCCAGGCCAAGCACGCACTGACTGTTGTAAGGTCAGCCTTTTATCTCTCAAAATCTGAGTTAAAAAAATAGGAAAAATAACATTAAAAAACACAAAAAGACACAAGTTTTACTGTTGCTTCGAGCTAGAATACATCCAAGTGAAATATTTGATTCAATTATCCTTTTCAATGTTTAATCTGAACCAGCATTAGATGCATCTGTTCCCTAGATGGAACCTGCAAGTAATTCTAACCGTAACAAAAGAAGGGTTTATAGGGCTCAGATACAAATAAGAAAGCAAATTTGGTTTCACTGTTTGAAATCGAAGCTTTAATGTTACTGTGCCGAAACTGGCAGTTAAGATACGACCAGGGCAATAACTAGCAATCAGACCGGGCCTCCTCCACAGCATAAGAAGGTGAAAGGAAGAAAATAATTAATTTATTTTAAAAAGGAAGAAACTTGAATCCTTACTGCTCCCCCTGTTGTATGATGCTTATACATCTGGTACAGTACATTATAGTATAAACACTACAGTATAATAATGGTAACCTATTAATACTCTTCGTCACCGGTGTTTTACTGTGGAAATACATTCCTGAGCATGCTTACTAACTCCTCTCAGCACATCTGTCTAATAAAAGTAGTGGCTGATCTTATTGTCTTAACTTTATCGTCTTACAAGAGTTCAGCAATTGTTACAAATGAGAGCAGAAGTCAGTAGTTACTGTACTTGATTGGGATCTCATCCTGCCAGTTCTTTAAAGACCCCCTTTGTGTAAGATCGTGTTTCTGATTTCAGTTATAACGTACTTCTATCTTCTGTTCCATGTCTCACTGCTGTATTGGGTTGACAATGTCAGTTATTTTCTGGATTTTAAATACTCAAATCAGGTCCCTTCACAGTCTTCTCTGTTCAAGATGAAAAAGGTTTAGGTCTGTTGTTTTTTTCAGTGTAGGACATTCCTTCAGGTCCAGGTGACCAGAATTTTACACAATATTATAAATTAAACTATACTAGTACATTACAAAAATTTAACATATTATCCCTAGTTTCAAATTCAGCATTTCTAATTAGATATCCTAATATTCTGTTTACTTTTTTATCCCTTCCCCACAATAGTAGAAGTGGTAAATGATGAGTGAACATAAACACCAAAGTTTTTTTTACAGATAGTGTCTTCGTGTTTAGAGTTTCCCATTTCATGTGTGTATCTTGTGTTTCTGCTCCCTCCTTGCAATATTCTGTACTCGTCGATGTTTATACCGGTACCACAAATAGAATGAAATTTCTTGATCCCTCTGGATTCTTCCGAACACAGTTGAAGAAACATGTCTAAAACTCTCTGACAATCCCTTTGCAAAAGTTGTGCTTCAACAATGTATTACACTCTTGATAGGATCTGAATTTGTCTTTACCCCAGAATTCCTTGCCAGTGTGAACACTCTTGTATGGAAATGTTACAACCTCAATGCCATATTTTTGTGAGGAGTATTTGAAAGGGTTGATCCGAGTCTTGAGTTAGCATTGTGATTGACTGCACCTTTCAGTCAGGATGGAAGAATGAACAGAGAGAAAGAGGAGACATCGTTAAAAAGATACGTACATGAAGGCTGGACCGAGAGGATGAGAGGTTAATAATGGCTGAGCTGCTGGTGCCGTCTGCAAACTACAAATCAAAATGATTTGGTTAGCTGGTTAGGGCTCAACAATATAAAACGTACAAAAAGTCGAGAGCACACATATTGCACTAGCAGAACACGCAGAGATGAGGTGCAGTCACCTGGGCTCTCGACACAGAAAGAGACAAAAGGCAGGCAATGTTAAAGGTCAGGCTTTTGGTCACAGAAGCAGATACAGTTGCTCTAAAGGGCTAAAGAGAATATCTAATTACTGGAATCATTCTCTATCACCATCCAGTGCTAGAGGGCACCACTTTTGCCATCTTGTGTATGTGATAAATTTACAAGTAACGAGAACATGGTCATGGTGGATCTTGTCTAAAACCTTAACATTACATCATGTTTGACTCTCATCTTAGGTTTCGGTAACATTTACAAGAACTAAGTTTAAATTCTTAATTACACTGAATAAAAGTAAAAGACCAATTCCTTTGGTTTTGGACTCAGAAGTTTATTTTTAGCCTCTGCACTCAACAGTTTTGTCCACCTCTTCAAAATCCCGATGCCTACATTTACATTAACACCTCACTGCCTGGAAGAAGTATTCGTCTTGCCTTTATATTCAGTAAAACACTTGGATCCTGATCCTGAGACTGCATATGTGATTCTTAGCTGGCTGACATAACATAAACCTATATATAGGACCTAACCACAGACCTCCCAGTGTCTAGATCTTCAATCAGTTGTGTTTTATTCGTATATAACTCCAGACCTCACACAGGCTTTGTGAACACGTATCAAGCACAGAGGTGGTGGTCACTGTGGAAATAAAGGGCCGGTACTACAGATGCCTCCAGCACCCCTGGTTAACTGTGCAGAACTCCTGGCAAAGTAAGGGAGCAAATGGCATTTGGGTTGACATCCTTTTATCCTGTTCTGGTATTTAATTCTTACAAAATATCAAGTCAGCACTGATTAAAAAAAAGAGAAACCTGACAAATGCCCAAAGACATTGAATTAAAACAAATTGTTTTACTGCACAAAATGTATTTTCTTAACTTTTGAGACAGGGAAGGATTCTGCGGTGAGCATTCTCCCGTCAAAACAGCTGGGAGACAGACTGCAACCCGGCTGGACCGTGGGCAGTGTGACCTGAAGCTGTGCCAGTGAGGGCATTCTCAGACTCCCCTCACCCTGGCACTGAGACTGAGACAGGGTCATTTTGAACAAGCAACCTTTGAAGCAACAAGAAATGTAGAAGATGGAAAATATTTTGCTATTAAAAACCCCACCTTATATTAGATTTTACATATTTGAAGACCTTCAATGAAACTGCAAAATTCACCCAAAAATGAATGAAGGTTGGTGGGAAGATTGTAAAAAACATCATTTAATTTTGGAAGCTTTTGGACTGGTTTTCAGTCAGGCACACATTTACAGTAGATCTTGAAGTAGTGAGTTTCCTTAAAGAGCACACCTGGACAGAGGGAAAGTCCAGGCCGTTTTGCTCATCGGTACATCTGGTAACACAAAGATAAAGCCACAGACCTGCCAAAGGACAGAAGTCTTTCTACATTTATATATGGAAACTATTTAGAATAAACTTTTCACTTAGTATCTGCCCCACCTGTAGGATCAGAATGATAAAAAAGAATGTACTGCTTCACTCAAACTGGGGACAGACAAAGCTGCACAGTTTGTCCTGTATCCCACAGATTACTGTCGCCTTAATTCTTGACATCCAGCGCATTCCAGAAAAACCCAAACCCCCAGTGTACACAGCCCAATCATCCGCGCTGATGTGCAGCCGCTATGCATGCTTTGAAATGGGACGTGAGCTCTCATGGTATTGGGGACTTTGAAGGGAATGGCACTGATCCTTAGTAAGTGACAAGCAGCATTCCACCCTGGGAACCACGATGACAGTCCAGTAGAGGGAGGTCAAGGGTTCACATGGTGCAGAGAAGGGTCGATTCTGAACATGGGAATGGCTCCTGGAGCTGAAGCGAAGGCGGCATGTTTGGATGGTTTCTAATAAACACCAGAGTGATGGTACTGGAGCCAGCAAGGAGCTGGCGCAGTCGTCCCCTGCTAATCTCGTTGACAGTTACAGTTTATTCACGTCAAACTGGCGCTAAAATGTGGGCCCCGGCCAAGCTGTCTGGGTTCGCGAGCGCGTTGGGACAGAGCAAGCGGACGAACGTCCGTCAGCGGCGAAGTCAGCAGGCGGCAAACGTGCAGATCCAGATGAGGGTCATCATTGCCCTCGGCCTGCGCGGCGCAAGCTCAACCGCCCGGCCCCTTTTTCTCGTTTATCCATCATTAAGATTATCATTATTATAATTGCTATTGTAATTTTTATGTTTCCCCTCTGCGAATTTTCCCAGTAAACCTCTGGCAGAGAAAAGCGCAAAGAAGATCTCGTGGCGCCTGTGGTGACAGAGGCGCGGCCGGCAGAATCGCAGTCTGCCCATGACGATACACCACATCTGAGCGAGCTCCCCTTTAAAGCCCCAGCCTTCACATTGTGCCAGGGCATTATATATACAATAATGCAGACTTCAAAAACAGGCCTCTGCAATGGGGCTAATTAGGAGCAGGCCTTTGTTGTGATTGTCTTTAAACAAGGAAATACTGTACAGCTCTTGATAGCATGAGCTTTTAAGGATCTGTGGTGACACTCTGCAGAAGGCCCGAAAATGTCTCTGACTCTCAACGAGCGGCTAGACAAGACACAGGTGTGCTTCCACAATAAAGAAACAGGAAATCACTCACCTGCTTGAGAAGAAAATACTCACATGTACTGAGTAGGGAATACTACAGGAAGACAAGTACCTAACCTTCTTAAAGAAATTGTCTGTAGCTATGTGCCATGTAACACACTGCCCAATGCCTGCAGTCAGTTGGCTCTTTAAGCGTCTTTAATTTCTTTTTTTAAGGTACAGATGTTCTTCCCAAGCTATGTATTTGGAAACACTACATTTTTTTCTGCTGTAGAGTGAAAGGCAGTGTTTTAGGTTTCAGTTAATGCACCTCAAAGTTTATTTTAGTGTTCTCAACATTTGAAACATGGAGTAAACGGATTCCAGAGTACCCTGAATATATTTGAAACAGTTTTTTTTACCAAACTGGCTCAGAATATCTGCTGAATGCCTCTTTGATGGCTTCCCTTTACTGTACCCCAGGGGTCTGGAAACTGGGATCATTTTAGAAGTTTACATTTTCCACCTGATTTTGCATGATTGTGAAGAAATAATGAAGGAGTGAGCATTAGGATTCAAACTTACAATTAGGGTTTATAAATATGAAGAGCTTAGTGCACACTGATCATTCCTTGGGGCTAGTCAATCAATATTTTGAGTGCAGATCCCCATTCCACTGGTTCAGGCCTCGGCCCTGAACGATGCTCTGGAGAACATCTTTTTTTGCTCAGTCCTCAGAAGCAGCTCCAGCTGTGCTGACTACACTGGTGCTTTGAATGGCTGTTTTGCACATAGGAAAATCTTCACATCAATAATATGGCAGTCCCCCTGTTTAACCCCCTGAACTAAAGAAAACCGTGAAGCAGAAGCTGAGCCCCTCTGTGAGATGGTTGTAGATTACAGTACCTGTAAAGCGCTTTAATAATAATAAAAATAACATCACTTTATTAACCCTTTACAATTTCTTGCATAAGGAATTATCTTTTTGCATACCCCAGCTTGCTCTCCATGAGACACACAGACAGAGAGAGAGCATAGGGTCAGAGCACAGGGCTGCCATTGTATGTGGGTTAAGGGCCTTACTCAGGGGCCCAACAGAGTAGGATTCCTCTGCCAGCTGCAGGATTTGAACCAGCAACCTTCCAGCCACAGGCACAGATCCTTAGCAACAGAGCCACTCCACTCCCCCTTTGAGTGGAGTGTCCAGAAAAGCACTTTATAAGTGTTAGCAATTATTATTAATTATAGCTTAAAGGCCTGTCCACTTTCGCGTTGTGTCCGAACCTCACAAGGTTCCTTTGCCCACCTCTTTCCCAGCGGAATTATAGCTGCTTAGAGTAAACTTTCCAGAAGTACCTAAACCCTCAACCCAAGTCTAACCTCCCGTCAATGAGCAGGCACTGTACTAGTTCAGGTTAGGAGCTGCGTCAGCATGCGTAGGCTGCAAAGGAACGAGTAAAGGTTTATTCCAGCTGAAAAGAGAAGAAAAGAAACAACATTTTGGCTGTGGGGCCTTCTTTGGGTCAAAGAAGAAGAAGGCTCCATGGCCAAAACAGTGTGTTTCTTTTCTTCTCTTTTCAGCATATAATAAGCACTGCACAACTGTATATCAGTAACACATGGACTCTGCAAATAATCTAACCAAAGATTTGGTCTCCCCACAAGACATATCTCGAATGACAAGGTCTGTTCTTTAGATACCTTCTCCTGTGTCCTTTACCTGTTCATAGAGGAACGCAATGAAACCAGCTGCACTGGGGTTCTCTCATTCATCCTAGTGTGAATGTTTTCACTCTGTGTAAAGCAGGGGTATCCAACCCTGGTCCTGCGGAGCCCCAGCTGAGTAAGTCTTACAGTTCACCTGTTTTTAAAGATTAGCAACACCAACAAGCTACATATGTATGAATAAGCAAGTAATCTAATTAAGAGAATTCTGCTCCTTGAGGACTGAAAGGTACTTAGATGTTAATCCTAAATGATTTTTAAAACACTTATTTTAGAAAATCATCTGTTTAACTGATCAAAATGAAATTCTTCCATATCCTTAAAAATTGATGATTTGACCGACAGTACAAAACCTGTTGGATGCTGGCTCTCCAGGACCAGACATCCAGTGTCTCTAAGCTGCCCTCTAGTGGCTTAAACCAACACAGACAGTTCCAGAGAGCTGCACTTATACAGACTGCAAAGATGCATGTCTGTATACTTGGACACTAACTGTTTCTTTACAGGAACGTGTGTAACAAGCTATTAGAGTGCATGAAGGTGTGTCGCATGTCATCATTTGCCAGTATAAGATAACACGGATGGACAAGCAGCACTATGGAGAAGTTCTCAAGGCTTCT